CCTCCCAGGCTCTCAAACCTGGGAGGGAGAGCAGTGGTGCGCGAAACAGCTGTTTCGCGCGCCGCGGCCGCTCAGGATCTCCCCCTCCCAGCCTTGAGAGCCTGGGAGGGAGGGCGAGTAGCGGCGCGCGAGCTAGGGCGGCCGGGGCACATTTTTAGGGGCGGCATTCTGGCGCCGACCATGCCGCCCCTAAAAATGTGCCGCCCCAAGCACCAGCTTGTTTTGCTGGTGCCTAGAGCCGGCCCTGCTTGCAGGAGAGTACCATAGTCTAAACCCAGCTGCAATGAAAGTTCTGTTTGCTGCAGTCATGAGCGTTCCCTATTAGTTGGCATTGTTATAAGTTCCAGTGGAATGTAGCTGCTGTGGAGGTTATGGTCACCAAAGTGGAAGCAATCTTTCAGGTGGCTAGAGCCAATCCCATGGAGGATTTTGAATATCAGGACAGATACCTTGTATTCATTTGGAGAGTCAGCACTGAGAGCACCAGGGCGATGTGTTCTGTTACTAAGAAGACAGGTTTTTGTACCAGCTGGAGCATTTTCATAGGTATGGCTTGACTCATAGAAAGGAGTTGCAGTAATTGTAGGGGAAGTCATAAATGCATGGATCACTATGGCCAGGTACGTGTAATCATCTTCTGGCTAGTCCCTGACAGCCATGAGCATTTTTCACCATCAAGGCTATTTTGGTACCCAGTAGCAATGAGGAGGTTCAAAGGACCGCAAGACTGCTGACTGACTTAATAATCTGATGGAAAATGCCATCATAAAAGGAAAATAAAGGAGGCAAGTTTTTCAAAACACGTCCACCTTCCCATCAGCATTACCTCAGTCTTCCTAGCTTTACGTTTCTCTGTCATCTGTACATGCAGGTGATGATTTCAGTGATCTTTTGAGAAATTTGGGAATCATTGCTGGTTACATTTGACTTAAAGAAGATTATACAGTGTAAATTTCATACATAGGTGAATTGAATTTCTTCCTTGTTTCTTGCTATTTTGAGAGTCTCCCTTCATATGCTTATGCTCACTTGGTTAAGCATTGACGTAGCATGAGTATGATACCAGAATGTTGAGTGAAACTTTTTTGATATAAAATTATTAATTCTTGATATTGTGAGAAGGTTTTGATTCCTTAGGGAGCATTCCAGGTGTATTGATAAATCAGCATAAACCACAGGACTTGCCTGAAACAATAGTCCATTGTCTCCTTTTTTCATATAAATTTCTCTCCCATTAAAAAAAACATTTGTAGCAGCAAAACAGCAATGATAGTAGGATAGATATTTCAAGATTTAAGACACTTATTTAAACCCAGTGGGCCAGATCTCAGCTCATGTATACTGATATAGCGACTTTGACTCCAGTGGAATAACACTAGTGTGCAAAAGCTAAGGTCTGGCTCTGTTTCTATATTACCTTGAGTGTGATTATTTCACTTTGCTAGAGTATTCCTTAATTATGCATAAAGTGATTTATGAAATTTTCTTAATATTAGCTTGTTAAATATATAAAGAAAACCATATACTTTTTATATCTGCTTTATTGAAAAAATAGAATTTGAGATAAAGTGGAAAAAACATTGATTGTGATTAAATTAGTTCATTTCATACCTGCGTGTTGTGGAACTTAAGAATTAGTTGCAAGCACATGGTGGTGGAGGTATTGGTAAAAATCTCCTTCTCTTGCTTTCATTCCCTTGTTGGACCTACCTTAGTATTCAAGAAGACCTCTGATGATGATAAGATGTTTGTGCTGCAAAAACAGATGGCAAGAGAGAATGCATTTTATTACAGTGGTTCCAAGTAGTGATGCTTTAGTTAAAGCTGAGTTGCCATTTCTGACCCCGCTTTCTGGGTTTAATATCACAGCCCTGTCAAATGCTTCAAGCTCAGGCATCAACCTTTTTTTTTTTTAATAGAAAAATCGTAGGAAGGGGTTAAGTAATTTTGGGTGCCAGTTTGTTTTCTTTCAGATGCTTTTTCCCTGTGCTATAGAGCACAGATATATATATATTTTGCAAAGAATATAATTCAGATCTCCAAAGAAGTACATAAATTACCTTTTAATAGTTCAAAGAGAAGCTGTTTTGAAACTAGTTCGCTATTAAATGATGAAAACTAGCCTGTGGAGGACCTACTTTTTGTCACTTTTTCCCCTCGGCATGAGAGCCCTGAAGAAACCTTTAAATTACCTAATAAAATATGGTACTGATTGCTGAACAGCTACTCACATTTTTCTAGCTTTGAATTTTCTCTTTTCAGTTTTAATAGTCTACAGCTTTAGCCACATGGCAAGCCAGATGTATTTTATTTTCTGACAATAATTGCAGCTTTCCAAGCTGTTTTGGAGCTATCACCACACACACACCATGTTATTACATAATATTCTTGTTTATATGTACCTTAAACTTCAGATGGACCAAATCCTCCTTTATGATATTGGGACATATATTAAGAATGATATGAATATTATAGAAAATTAATAATAAAGTCATATAGTAAGGTAGTATGATGGTTGCCTATCTTCTCTCACTGGTTTGTGATATTTTTGGGCAGTAGTATCTCTGTGTATTATTTTTACTACATATGGGACCAAATCATGAAGATTTTACCTGAGGCTTCTCTCTCAAACTGGAAATTCCATGGCAGAATCAAATGTGGAAATGTTCACATACAGATTTTAATTGAATCCCATGTTAAACTGAGTAATACATTAATATTTGACAATAGCTGAGAATAATAAACAAACTAGGGAAATGCAACCTAGATGGAGTTACTATAAGGTGGGTGCAAAAATCGTTGGAAAACCATTCCAAAAGAGTAGTTGTCAGTGGTTCACAGTCATGCTGGAAGGGCATAACGAGTGGGGTCCTGCAGGGATCAATTCTGGGTCGGTTCTGTTCAATATCTTTATCAATGATTTAGATAATGGCATAGAGAGTACACTTATAAAGTTTGCGGATGATACCAAGTTGGGAGGGGTTGCAAGTTCTTTGGAGGATAGGATTATAATTCAGAATGATCTGGACAAACTGGAGAAATGGTCTGAAGTAAATAGGATGAAATTCAATGAGGACAAATGCAAAGTACTCCATTTAGGAAGGAACAATCAGTTGCACACGTACAAAATGGGAAATGACTGCCTAGGAAGGTGTACAGCAGAAAGGGACCTGGGGATCATAGTGGACCACAAGCTAAATAAGAGTCAACAGTGTAACACTGTTGCAAAAAAAGCGAACATCATTCTAGGATGTATTTGCAGGAGTGTTGTAAGCAAGACATGAGAAGTAATTCTTCTGCTCTACTCTGTACTGATTAGACCTCAACTGGAGTATTGTATCCAGTTCTGGGCACCACATTTCAGGAAAGATGTGGACAAATTGGAGAAAGATCAGACAAGAGCAAAAAAAATGATTAAATGTCTAGAAAACGTGACCTATGAGGAAAGATTGAAAAAAATGGGTTTGTTTAGTCTGGAAAAGAGAAGAATGAGAAGGGATATGATAACAGTTTTCAAGTACATACAAAGTTTGTGACAAGGAGGAGGGAGAAGAATTGTTCTTCTTAACCTCTGAGGATAGGACAAGAAACAATGGGATTAAATAGCAGTGCAGCAAGGGAGGTTTAGGTTGGATATTAGCAAAAACTTCCTAACTGTCAAGGTGATTAAGCACTGGAATAAATTGCCTAGGGAAGTTGTGAAATATCCGTCATTGGAGATTTTTAAGAGCAGGTTAGACAAACACCTGTCAGGGATATTCTAGATAATACTTAGTCCTGCCATGAGTGCAGGAGACTGGACTAGATGACCTCTCGAGGTCCCCTCCAGTCCTACGATTCTATGAATGTTGGCTAATAGGGACACCTACTAAGTTACTATACATTGAGTTCAGAAAGAAAGGGGCTGGTGTTAATACCATATTTGAAAGCATGACATAGATTAAAGTTGATGACGGAAGTAGCTTGGCCAAAATCACTTGCAACTTAAATGGTCAAGTAAGTAAAACATCAGGTATAAATAATTTGGTCAGGGCCAAAGTGATGTAACTCGCACTGATTTGGCATTCCACTGGGTCTGAGAAGCAAGTGTACTTTATATATTCAGAGTGGGAGGGGTAATATAGCAGGAAAAGTAATTTGCCGGTAGGTGTCAGATAAAACATGCTTCTCTACTTAAACATTGACCCACACCATGCCCAGCACTTTCATGGGCCAAATTAAACCCTGGCATGAGAGGACACAGTCCCCATTTGTTTTCTTCCCCATCCCTTATACCTGAGTTGAATTTGGCCCAGCAGAATGCTGAATTGGTGCAAATTACACTCATTTTACACACCCAC